AAAATTATTTATTTAAAAATATAAATTGATATAAGAGCTTAGCATTATTTTATTTTTGAAAAAGAGTAAGTGCTAATCCCTTAAAGTCCTTAATGAATTTAACCATAAGAATAAAACACTACCACAATATACAATTTAAGGAATCATGATAAAAAGAAATTTCTACCTGTGGCAGATTTTACAATCACACTCATTCTCCTTCTTACTGAGTCAAAACTCAAAACTTCCAGCAATTCAAACCTGAAAAAGAAATTTTAAAAATTAAGATCCATCTGACTGCATATATTGTTAAGTTGGATAATTATCAAACCACCTCACATAGATCAGAAATTCCTTAAGAAAGCAGTGGAACGGACAGCACAGTTCTGTCTCCTTTACGTAAACCTCAAACCCTATCTCCACACCATTTGGCCCTAGCTCCACTCTGCTGCTCTCTCTCTTTCTATTAATGACGTAAGCCAGCCCTCTGAACGAAGGAATGTGGAGACAGCCTATTTCCCCCTACAGCCATGATGAAAACATCTGCAGTATGAAGATGCCCTTACTTTTATTTCGTGTGATGTTAGGAATTCCCTTCCCATAGTTTATATAAGCTGTCTGTGATAAGAAATGACTAAAATTGATTCATAGGGGCTGAGTTTTTCATAGGTACTAAGAACCTTTCCTTGTTATGATTCACCCGATCACCACCAAACCAGGTCGCCTTTCACAATGAGTTTGCCCAAAAGTCTGCATTTCTTATGCCCTGGCTGAGTTTTAAGAATTCTGTTAATCATAGATATACACAGAGCCCTGTGCAAGAATTGGTGTTATTCCTAAATTCATTAAAATTGTAACAAAGGGCAAAGAAAACTGGCATTTTAGTCATCTTGTACAGTCTTATTATCAGAAGACACATTTGAAATGTTGATAATAGTACAGCAAGCCCTCCTCCTCCTCCTGGAACTCCTCAGAGTCTAAAGACCCCAATCTCAGGAACGTCAGGAGCTTATCAACTGTGAGACAGACACTGGCAGCAACTGTGTCATTATCGGTCTGCCCTACAGGTGACCCTAAAGTCCCCATCACTGGCTGGGCTGACCAACACAGGGAGGTCTGCAGTCAGCGGATTCACTCTGCTTCCATTTACCAGGGAATTTCTTTTTCTTAAGATTGAATTTTTAAAATCCAGTTTTATTTTTCTGAGGTAATCGCCACCAAGTCTTATGTTCTTTTTT